AAATGCTTTAGGGGCTATTATTCAATTGCCCAAACATTCCCGGCTTTTTTTTATACCCGTACGGCCTCGTGGCGTGTTGCGGCTGCCAAGTTACGGCTACCGCGTTGCAACCGGTGTTGCGACCGGTGTTGCGGCTAATATTGGCCACTTTCATCAACACCACAACCACGTATAAAATAGGTTATTTTATATCTGGGGCTCGTAATTCAATTGCCCAAATCTTCTCATCTTTTTTTTATACCCGTACAACCTCGTCGCGTGTTGCGGCTACCGCGTTGCGACCGGTGTTGCGACCGGTGTTGCGGCCACTTTTAACACCCCCGAAAGGCTTAAAACGCGTAGATTTAATCGATAGACCTAATAAAAAGGTTAGTAACTATTGTATAATCAATTATTACTTACTTTAAACGCGTTAATAATTGATGCTATTTTAATGAGTGCCTACTTAGGGGTAAAAACGACCAAATTGACTCAAACCAGTAATGCGAAATTTTTTTATGAGGGTAAGTCAAGGGTATGATTGGTCAAAAAGTGATGTGGCTAAAAGGGTACAACAAGACGAACTAAAATTTCGCATTACTGGTCTGAGCTATTGAGATAACTGCTTTTTTGTTTTGTCGGTTGCGCACTAATGGTGCACCGTAATGTACCCGCAGATCTGGCTCGGTGGTTGTTTAGTAGAGCTTTATAACTCTTTTAACGTCAAACGTCATAAGCCGTTGTTAAGGTTGATAGGTACTTTCAAATGTTGCTGATAGCCGAGTTCACCCGATAAACAGTGCTGCCGATCCCTTGTAAACTGCAGGTGCCTGGACCTTTATTTGTGCGTTGTACGATAAGCTGCGGGTAAAGTTATGGTGGACGGTTAAGACATTTGTGCCAAAATCAAAAAAATAAGTCAAGGCTTTTTAAAAAAGGTAATATAATTAAGTGTACAATACATTATACGGGGTATATTTATTTTAATAGTTTAAACTAGTGTTAAAAAAAAAGTTCGTTTGTTTCGTTATACTTTTTTAACTACATTACTTTTTAACTAATTATAATTTTAATTTATTTTTTTAAACATTTTTTTTAACATTAATTTAAATTAATTTAATCGTTTTTACTTTTAAATAAACATTTATTAAAATAATATTATCATTAAATACAATAATATTAACGCGTTTAAAATAAATAATAATTAATTATATAATAGTTATTAACTTTTTTATTAAGTTTATCGATTAAATTTACGCGTTTTAAGCTTTTTAAAGGTGTTAAAAATGGCCGCAACACCGGTCGTAACACCGGTCGTAACACGCGTTATAACGCGGTAGCCGCAACACGCGACAAAACCGTACAAATATAAAAAAAAAAGACGAAAATGTTAAAACAATTAAATTATTAGCCTTAAATATAAAATATACCATTTTATACCTGGTTATAAGCGTTATTATAAGTGTTATAAATGTTATTATAGTATTAGCTGTGGTGTTAATTGCGGCGTTTTTCGTGATATATTATATTATTTTTTTTATATTAAAACTTATAATATTATAACGTAATGCCGTACAGGTATAAAAAAAAAATAAAAAAGTAAAAAAAGTAAAATATTAATTTTAAGTTATAAAAATAAAAACTATTTTATATATTATTATTAAATATTAAATTATTATAAATATAATGTTTTTAAAAAAATTATGCCATTTTTACGGTTTTAACGTTTAAATTAATTTAAATTAAAATTTAAAAAACATTTAACTTATAACCCATTTATACAAACACACGGACCATGCGTTTTGTGGCGTTATGGCGTTAATTAATAAACAAAACCCGCTTTTTCGAATTTTAATTTAAATTATTAAAATAAAAGTATATATAAAATAAAATATAAAAGTTTTTTTTTTATTTTATATACATATAATATATATTTATATATTTATATAACTTTACAAATATAACGTTTTAAACATTATAATTAATATAATTTTATAATTTTAATTAATGTAAAAATAACCATTTAATTTACATGTTTATAAAATATATATTAAATAATTTATTTATTATTAAAATATTTATAACGTTTTTAAAATAAATCGTTTTAAAAAGTATTACGTGTTAATTTTTTCGTATATTAATATAATAAATTAATTAAAAAATATATATATATATATATATAATTTAAATTTTTATTTTCGCATTAATTAAAATTATTAATTAATATTAATTATATTATTTAAAATGGTATATTTGTAAAATTATTTAAATATATATAAATGTTATATATAAATATATTTTATATATATTTAAAACAAAAATAAAAGTTAAATTTAATTAATTAAATTTTTAAACTTGTAAAAAAAATAACTTAAATAATAAAATATAATAATGTTTATATAATTATATAACGTTTTTAATATTTTTACCAATTTTAAATTAAATCACATGTAATTTAAATTATTTTTCCGAAAAAATATTACGCTTAAACTTTTTTAATTGATAAGGTAATTGATAAGGTAATTGATAAGTAAATGATAAGGTAATTGATAAGTAAATGATAAGGTAATTACGTAAAAAATACGCGGTAATTGCGCGCGCGCGCGCTTTCGAAAAAATATCACATACGCGTTTGCGCGCACGTAAAAACGGCCCGCGAGCTTGCGAGCGGCCGTTTTGATAAAATTTTAAATTTCGTTATTTTTTAATTAAAATAACAACACTTTTTCGAAAATATTTGGATAAATATTCGTAAAGCTACTGTGGTATAAGGTTAAAAGGGGATATGTATTACCTTGATTGCGTACACAGGGCAAATAGTCGAGTTTATACTGTACCCCTAGCGTTACTATTACCGTATTAAACATAATGCCACCGGCTTTTTCGATTTTGGCACAAATGTCCTAACCGTCCACCATAAAAGTGGATGTCAATTTCGAAACATCGAAGTTAAATATCGGGCTTCCGTTGTCTCGAGCTATAACATCCGCAATCGGTATTGCTCATTTCGAGTAATCAGATATGCCGCGACTTCCATTTGCTACCTTAAGCAGATATCTGTTCAACGGTCAACTTTCCACACGAGGCTGCTTAAAATATCAAGCACGGACCATCCCTAAAGCTGTTCAAACTTCTATTCCGTCAACAGCCTTATGGTTTTCCCAGGTCCGAGATGTTCACACTGAGTCTGCTTCTTCTCCCCTCTCCAATAATACGCACTCTCCCGTTCATGTTCCCTTGAGGAAGCAGTTGAAATATGAGGCCAAGAAGCAAAAGGCTCTCGGAAAGAAGAAGAAAAAGAACGCGAGCAACCAAGTAGTGGACGGTTGGGAGTTGACCGTAGGAATTGAGATACATGCTCAGTTAAACACGGCAAAGAAGCTCTTCTCGCCTGCAACTACGTCATTCAATGATGGCCCAAATTCTCATGTTGCATTCTTTGATCTAGCTACGCCCGGTAGCCAGCCCATTTTTCAAAAGGAGACTCTTATCCCAGCACTAAGAGCTGCTCTAGCGCTTGACTGTAACATACAGAACGTAAGCAGGTTCGATAGGAAACACTATTTCCACTGGGATCAGCCGTCAGGCTACCAGATCACTCAGTACTACGAACCATTTGCGCGAGATGGTAGGATTATACTACAAGCTAGAGATGGAATTGCGGCAGAAGACGGCGATGGTGTCTCGGTTGGTATTAAGCAGATCCAGATGGAGCAGGACACAGCCAAGACCCTAGCACAGCCAGGTGAAGTTCATTGGATCGATTTCAATCGTGTTGGCATGCCCTTGATCGAGATTATTACTCTGCCCGATATTCACCACCCTGCTACTGCTGCTGCTTTGGTTAGGAAAGTTCAGGCCTTACTTAACGCCGCCGATTCTTGCATCTCGGGCATGGAGGCCGGTGGATTACGCGCAGATGTGAATGTGTCCGTCCGAAGAAGCGATGATCCCTCCGCACCGCTAGGTCAGCGTACTGAAATCAAGAATCTAAGCAGCTTTAAGGCTGTTGAGGACGCTATTATCGCTGAGCGGGATAGACAGATTTCCGTTCTGGAGTCCGGTGGGAAAATCGAGAGCGAGACTCGTGGCTGGTCGATTGGGTCGACTGAGACTCGTCGACTACGTGGCAAAGAAGGTGAAGTTGACTATAGGTATATGCCAGATCCTGATCTGGCACCTGTTATTATTGGTAACGACCTTGTCAACCACCTACGAGAGGGTATGGGCGAACTCCCCGACGCCGAAGTCGACGAACTTATTCAACGGTTTGGGCTTACTCCTAAGGATGCACTTTCTTTAGTAGTGCTCGACGGAGGCAACCGAGTTGAATATTTCTGGAATGTCGTCGATCTCCTCACTAAACGATTTGGGCCAGATGCCGCCTCTCCTGAATATCTATCTGGATACCAACTTGCTGCTAATTGGATCCTGCATGAGTTAGGTCGCCTAACATCGGGCCGTAGTGAGGATGACGCCCAGGACTTGGGATTTACAGAAGACGGCCAATGTGATCGTGTACCTGTCAGGCACCTTACCGACATCTTGTTATATCTATATCAACGCAAGATAACTGCTAAAGTAGCCAAAGAACTTCTATGGGCTGTTTTCCGCCGGAGAGTTCCAGATGAATATGCTACGATAGATGCTGTCCTCGACGAGGAAAATCTATGGTTTGACGAGCTCAACGAAGACGAGTATATTCAGCTGGCGTTGAATGCAGCGGAAGGACAAGATGAAGTTGTGAAGCAGTTTGTGGATTATAAACAATATCCCCAAGGGAAGCTGATGTTCCTAGTTGGTCGAATGATCCGGCTAGGTGCTGAGGAGAGAATCGACCCAAAGGAAGCCGAGAGGGTCATGAAGCGTGTACTAGAAGAAACTCTAGTCCCAGCTATTAGCAATTGAGACTAGCCTCAATTTTGATATCGTATAGTCCTGTTCTAACAAGATACCCGCCTAAATATGATTCAGAACTCTATATCCGAGTGAAGGCCGATATATATGAGTCACGCAATCTTGGCAAGTCGAGCACGACATCTACATTAACTACACTGCATAAATACTAGTGTACTGAAACGTCCCTTTTCCAATCCGCTAGCTATCACAAACGTAACCATCACCACGTTACAAAATGTCGTCTCCAACTACCCCGCTTGTTGATCACATCGTGATCCTGATCCCATATTCTTTCCTCTCCGCCCCGCCCTCCTGGTTTGCAGACTTATTCCACTTCTACCCCGGCGGCCGGCACTCCGACGGGCTGACCGAGAATACCCTCGTGTTGCTAGCCGACGGCTCGTACCTCGAGTTCATCGCCTTCGTGCCCGGGGTCGACCCGGCGAAGCGCGCTGCGCACCAGTGGGGCAAGAAGAAGGAGGGTACGGTTGTGGATTGGGCGGTTACTCTGCCGTCTTCGTCTTCCCCATCCTCCGCAGAAGAGGAAGCGAGGTTCCTAGAGCAGGAAAAAAAGTTCCGCGAGATCCAGAAGAGGGTCCGCGATGCGAATGCCGGGATCGTGTATGGAGACCTACGGCGTGGAGGGAGGACTCGGCCGGATGGCGAGGTGTTGAAGTGGGCGGTTGCGTTCCCGAAGCACGATGATGGGGATCCGGTTGAGCCGGGGACTGTGCCGTTTTGGTGCTTGGATATTACGGCCCGGGGCTTGCGGGTGCCGTATACTGATCCGGGAGTCACGAAGCATCCGATTGGCGCGGTTGGAGTTGCGAAGGTTGAGGTTCTGCCTGAGAACCGGAAGACTGTTGAGAGTGCGAGGGTTGTCTACGATACTATCCTTGATACTAAGGGGACTGCGGAAATTGGAAAGTCGTGGAGGATCGGAAATCCGGTTGGCGAGAAGGTTCATTCCGGAGGGGTTGTTCGTCTGGATGCTTCGGATGGACCAGCTACGGTTAACATATCGTTCTTCACGGATGATCTAGGTCTGGTTGGGAAATCAGTGGGAGGTAAGGTTGATGAGGATCATAGCCTTACGTTCCACTTGGTGGCTGCGTTTGATGGAAAGGTGTAATATTAATAGATCATAGGTCACGTAAGACTTATAAATGATAGTAGGATGTGAATGTATGTAATCCGTACATTCCAAAGTTCTAAAGATGTCTAGAGGATTTAGGCACTGATGTAAATACTACTTCCTAAGACTACCTATGCGGTAGGGTAGCCCTATGTCCTCGGGTGCGAGAGAGACGCGGTGGATTAGGTATATCTACCTATCATATCATGTTTGAAATAGTTACAGTAGGTAAGGTACATATGTCGATAAGACTAATCCACCGTGTCTCCCTCTCAATTGAATACCTAGATTTTATTCGATGGAGACTCGCTGTTGAGAGCCGAGATCTTATTTCTCATTAGAAGCTGATACCGGGCGGGGGGTTTCCGTTGCGGCCAAAGCCCAACCCTCCCTCTGTCGCAGGAAGCTTTCTACTCTCTCATGTCTGTTGAGGGTCGCCTGCTCGGTCTGACGCTGTCTTATATCGTGACTAATAGTCGCATGACTCTGCTCCCTCATTTCAACTAAGTTTGTCGTATTTGAATTTGCGCGGCGCGCTTGGCCCACGCTTCCGATAACCACGAATATGCATAACACGCCGGCAAATAGCTGGTTAGACATATAAACAGGACTTTGCTTCTCCTTCTTCCCGTCCCTTTCATTGTACCATCGTTCCCAGTCCTCCCACGTGGCGTTCATGCTTGGATTTCCAGGAACGTCGCGCCAAGACCTGTCGACGGATCGGTAGAGATTTTCCATGCTTCGCATTCCGCCCCATCCCGCGCCGTGCAAATCGTAGGCTCGTCGCTTGGACGGGTCGCTAAGAATCTGGTTTGCAGCAACGACTAAGCGGTAACGCTCAAGCCGGGCGGAATGCGACAGCTGGTGAGTTGACACGTGATGGTGCCTATCAGGATGATAGAGCTTGACTAATTCATAGAATTTGGTCTTGCTGTATGGCGCACTCTTCTGTTGGTCGAAGATCTCATAGGGAGTGGGGTGTGGCGACTCAGGCCAGGCATGCTCGTTAGAAGAGGCAGCCGACTTCTTGGACCCGTCGGAAACCGTAGCATAGCATCGTCGGCGCGAGGAGATGTAGCCGTGCTCTTGACACGGAGGCCATCGCGTGTTCGTACTACATGACGATGACGTTATGCCATAACAGGAGTGTGACGATGGAAGCAAGGCGGGAAGACTGGAGCAAAGGGCGAAAGTTGGCTTCTTGAAGATCATAGTCTACAAGAGAAGGGCATTGCTCGTGAAGCCCATTAGAAAAGGCCTCATGACGGAAAAGAATAGACTGGTGGAAATAGGATCTCTAATAAAGAGAGATGAATTGGAAAGAGGCAATATAGAATTGAGTTTAGGTGTTGTTGTATGTTTGAAATGGCTTGAAATAGCTCAAACCCGCTCAAGCCGACTGACCGATGCGTTCATGCGGTACGTAGATGGATGATGACTTAAATGGTCTTGCCGTTCAAGCTGTCATAGGGGTTTCATTCGCTATAATTCGCTATAAGGTTAGCGCTAATCGATGCTATGCAGCTGGGATATTGCAGTCCCTGGCATTATGTAACGCTTCTCTGCTTTCCCTCAGCCTCAAGGTTGCGGGGTCATTCGGGAGGGTCCCGCAATGTCGGGACAATACCGGACCGGCACCGTGTGGCTCGTGCATGTTCCTTCTTACTGCACAACCTCTGCAGGCTTCTTTTCTCGGCTCGACCCCATTGAAAAACAATTTGTGGTGCGCATCAGATCAGATCAGATCAATAACCTCTTCTCCTTGCAACGCAGACCGGCCATTTTCACGAGGCACTTCTTTCCACACCCACAAACCACATCTACATCCTTGCCTCTACCTCTTTCCCGCACACGAACCTCCACGAATATCTTTGAGTGCATTGCACATATTACTATAGCTCCCTTGATCTTCGGTCCCTCCTCGTCGAAAGGACTTAGAGCTCACCCAGAGACCCTCCCTCGCGAATACACTATCAAACCCCCATTTTCGCTACTGAAACAAGGTCATCTCGATCCCCGGTGACTCTCTACCCGCGATCAACTACTGAAACCGACTCGTTCGTCTTTATACACCGCGTTATCTCGCCCCATACGAAAAGACCCCTCTAAATATCCCACTACGTGATTCCGTCTTGTGCGCCTTAGGTGCTTAAAGCGTCGATCATATCCATTATTTAGCCAGCTGGATCTTCCCTGGCTGCAGGAGTTACTATTTGGCGAAGGTACGTCTACGTGTCTATACGCGGTACGGTTGTGGCGCTCCCACATTTGGCCTAAACTTCTTGTTGGAGCTATCTATGTTATTCGTTTTGGTCATGTTCAGATATCTCTCTTATTGGTGCCTTATTGAGGTGACGGGAACGTCTCCTCATTAGCAAGACCCGCTCCCTACTATTTTTTGAATGCGCTTCTTTCTACCGCCCTTATGCTGAGTTGTTTGCCAATTTTAAACTGACCAATTTCGACGCTCTAGCATTGCTAAGCCTTTGACATACCCACCACTCTATCGATTTAAACAGGAGCGAAAGCTTCAACTCTCGTCCTAGACGCGCATACGAACGACCTTCTTCTGTACCAGCAAACAGTTCGCACCCACACCCACCTTCCAAACCAGGCATATGAAAGTCTACTTTCCATAGAGCCTCGCGTCCCACTCACTCACATCGTTGCCTCCTACAACATTATCACCCTTCCCCTACTGTCTCTCAGCAGTGCATGGTACACGCACAGAATTCAACGTTACCCCGTGAATTACATACAAACATCAGATCCTCGAGTTTCTTTCACAGTTAGGCCTGACACTCATAGCAAAAATGACGGATGCTTTAACAGCGCAACTGAGGGCTTCGACCTTGAATGATGCTCCTCAGAATGAGGATTGGAAGAAGAGTCTCAACATCCCTACTCGTGACAACAGACACCAAACCGAGGTCTGTATTTGACTTGTTGGGAGGGCGAGAGACAAGCTAATTTGATCTCTAGGATGTAACAAACACTAAAGGTCTAGAATGGGAGAATTTCAACCTAAAGCGAGATCTACTAATGGGCATCTTCGAAGCTGGCTTTGAGAAACCATCACCTATCCAAGAAGAATCTATCCCGGTAGCCCTAACGGGACGAGATATCCTAGCAAGAGCCAAGAACGGTACCGGCAAGACAGCAGCTTTCGTCGTACCCGCTCTAGAACGGATAAACCCGAAGGTCAACAAGATTCAGTGTTTAATATTGGTCCCTACAAGAGAACTCGCAATGCAGACATCTCAGGTCTGCAAGACCCTCGGCAAGCACCTCGGAATCAACGTCATGGTCACAACTGGTGGTACTACTCTCCGCGATGATATCGTCCGTCTACAGGATCCCGTCCACATAGTAGTGGGCACTCCCGGCCGTATTCTCGACTTGGCAGGCAAGAATGTTGCTGATCTCAGCGAATGTCCTATGTTCATCATGGACGAAGCCGACAAACTGCTTTCGATCGAGTTTACCCCTGTCATCGAACAGCTGCTCCAGTTCCACCCTAAGGATCGCCAAATTATGCTCTTCTCGGCCACGTTCCCCATGTCTGTTAAGGATTTCTCTGATAAGAACATGGATAGGCCTTACGAAATCAACCTGATGGACGAACTCACCCTACGGGGTATCACGCAATACTACGCTTTCGTCGAAGAGAAGCAGAAGGTTCATTGTTTGAACACCCTCTTCTCTAAACTCCAAATCAACCAGTCCATCATATTCTGTAACTCGACGAACCGTGTGGAACTGCTAGCCAAGAAGATAACAGAGCTTGGTTATTCATGTTTCTACAGTCACGCGAAGATGGCTCAGCATGCGCGAAACCGAGTTTTCCACGACTTCCGCAATGGTGTCTGCCGTAATCTCGTCTGTTCCGATCTCCTGACTCGTGGTATCGATATTCAAGCGGTGAATGTCGTTATCAACTTTGATTTCCCGAAGAATGCTGAAACATACCTGCACCGTATTGGACGATCTGGCCGGTACGGTCATCTTGGTCTGGCGATCAATCTGATCAACTGGGACGACAGGTTCAATCTATACAATATCGAAAAGGACCTGGGCACGGAGATTCAGCCAATCCCTGCCACTATTGATAAGAGCCTTTATGTTTACGACAACCCCGAGAGTATCCCTCGTCCTGTCAACACGTACGCCCCGAAGCCCGTACATTCTGGCGATTTCCCTTCGCAACAATCGAACAACATTTCGTCATCTCAGAATAGAGGACAGGGCTTCCAAAGCGGTCGTGGTGGTCATTTCAACGACTCCCAGTCGTACCAATCCAATCGCGGAGTAGGCCGTGGCGGCGGTCGCGGTGGTAACCGAGGTCGTGGACGCGGTTACAACAACTATGGCGGCCGTGGTGGTGGTCGAGGTGGCCAGAATCAACCTCCGCAATAAGCCCGAGTTATTCTCGAGCGTGCTTAGACCCCACGCCAGAAACTCAATATCCACTGGGGTTTCCTAGGTTTCATCTCATTTGCACTGTACATATCTTCTGGATTCTTTTTGCGATTTGTAACATACCCATTATGACTTCGTTGGTTCCTTGGCTTCCAATCGTTCCTCGATCTCGCGAAGGAGATTCTTTGAGCATTCGACGACATGAGACCGAGTTAGTTGACGTTTGGACGAACCGGGGAAGGGGAAAATTTTGGCGTCGGGCGTTTTTTCCACCTGGATTCGGTGGTCGGCATCGGATAATTCTTCGGCGGCATAGGGGATGTGCACTCGGTGACGAGGAATGACCACGAGGAGAGATTATATTATGTTGACGGACTCGTTTCAACCGTTGTCTCATAAGCATTTTTCCGTTTAACTACTCATCCCCCTCTCTATCAACCTTGGTTGAAGTTTTCATATCCAACTTAGAGCAGTGTTTGGCGAGCATTGTCGCGAAACTCACCGTACCCGAGGACAGCAGAATACTTCTGCCTGGGCCCGGGCTGTTCAACCTACACAATTATTGCACTGCGTCGGTCCACCGCAGGAGCATTGGTACCATCAGTTGCAACATCTTCGACTCGGACTGCAACAAAAATTATTCAATATGGAGGAGGAATCGTCGTCTACAGATGGCCATTCCGATTCACCCAATACGACTGACTGGCTAATATGTTTTGGAACTGTTCCTGGTTACTGGCGGCTCCCGTTTCCGTGGTCATGAGCTGTCACACTTTTACCTATCGGTGCTTACCTGAAAACTTCTTATGCATCAGGGGGCTCAAGTACACGTCCATAGTCGCACTTTTGCATTAGGACGGTGTTTTCGCCGTTCTGATAGTCTCGGCTCCTGGGCACAGTCTTGCCAGCATAGTGACACAGGCAGAAAAAAAGAGAAAAAAGAGAAAAAATTGATTTGGGAGGAAACGCTGGATGAGCTAGATGGCTTTTGAACTAGTTAATATGCCTCTTGGTAGGTATATAGGACTGGTGAGTTAGATAGTTTACTGAGCAAGTTGTGGTGGCTCCTGGTCACCATTTCCTTTCACTTGTTTGTGTTCATGATTGATTTTACCGTGACTATGCGCTGTGCTATCACCTAGAACTCTTTGCTGCTATCTATAATTCAGCATTGACATGGCTACAATCTTTTTCCTTTGTGATGTTTGCGCCAAACATGTTAATATATCACACCGAGCTTGTAGTATAGTTGAAGGGGTGCAGCCAGAGAATCTCGAGGCGAAGCTTGCACTCTTTGGATGGAATGGGAGCCAGATGGCAATTGAGATCTAGTCAAACAAGCCCAACTTAAAATTTGATGAATTTTGTAGATAAGAAACCAACTAAAAGAGAGATATACTTGGTATAAATGGTAAGATATTAAGGATTGAAATATAAACATACTACTAATCTCCTTAAAAACATCCACTTGTGAGTTCGGACTGTAGAATTTGACCATATGTGATGCAGTTGAAAAAAAGAGGGTACCTAGGCATTCAATACGCTAGATCTCTACTTAGTACTTTGCCATCAAGAAGCAAATTGAAAAGAAAGAAAAAAAATTTGCTTTACTGGAGACATAGCTCCGGGAATAAATTTGTAGTTAGGTTCAGAAAGAGAAAATTACCCGTTGAAAATCTGTGGAAATATTCGTCCATGGACCAATCAAGTTCTGGCTTGAGTAGGAAGAGATTTCATAGCTGCAGGTTCTCGCCCTTACGCGTTTGCACACGCGAATTTGAGCATGCAGCCGCACGTACAGAAGAAACTCTATAAAGGTACCTTTTGTATGTACCTCCTAAGATACATACATGTATTAGAGAATCCAAGATCAAAGAAGCTGTAGGAAGGTGTAAGTTGCTGCGGCTGCCTTGCAACAAAATGGCACTGACGCAAGTACCAATAAAAGCTAGAGCTCTCTCACAATTTCTCAAGCTACATCCATCTTTCTTTCCACTACAACAATCTATTGTCCGGTTCCAGCATAGAACTTTCACCACGACCATGCAAGAACCACAGGATCATTCTCGTTTTCGCACCCGTGGAGGAGGTAAAAGGCGTGGGAATAATACCCGCGGCTCAAGGCATATCCCAAATCATCCGCGGCCAGCTGCAGCTAAATATTCTACTCAGTCAAATAGCAATAATGAAGTCGATGATTCTTACGCGCCTTCAACCTCAGAAACACCTCAAAATGTTACACCCCAGAATGCTACCCCGAGAATCTCTGTGCCCACAGATACTCCGACTTTTGCAGGGCTCGCGAAGGATAATCTGATTCATCCTGTCTTACTGCAAACAATATCGGAGGACTTGAAATTCAACCACATGACACCGGTACAAGCAGCCACCATCCACCCGCTTCTAAAGGAAGGGTGCGATGTTTTGGCACAAGCAAAGACTGGTACAGGAAAAACCATCGCCTTCCTACTGCCAGCCATTCAAAGAATGATGCATCGCCAGGAGCAACCGGGTAATAACGTTTCTCTGCTTGTCATTTCACCCACCAGGGAGTTAGCAATGCAGATCGCGGAGGAGGCACGTGCCCTACTACAGCGTCTAAAGCAGTACAAGATCTGTATCGCCATTGGTGGTACAAACAAGGACACGGAAGAGAGACGCATTTTAAGGAGCTGTGATATTCTGATTGGTACTCCAGGTCGACTATACGATCACCTGAGTGGAGAAGATAGCCGCGTTGCCAGCATGCTGCAGAGTCTTGACACGTTGGTGCTAGACGAAGCCGACAGGCTTCTGGATATGGGCTTTTTGAACTCCCTAAAGAAGATTATTGGATGCCTGCCTAACAGGGCCGTCCACAAGAGGCAATGTATGCTCTTCTCCGCAACTGTCCCTGAGCACGTCCAAAAAGTTTCTCAACTGGTCCTGTCGAAGGACTATAAGTCTATCTCTACCATCGCAGAGGGTGAACTAAACACGCACGAGCGCGTCCCTCAGCATCTCATTGTCGTCCCTACTTTCTCTGATATGGCGGCTGGATTACTTGGTGCACTACGACAAGAGCTTGCAGTTGTTGGTCCCAAAGCCTTCAAGGTGATAATCTTTGTGCCAACCGCACGGCTAGTAGACTTTTACGTGGAAGTCCTACAGAAATCCTCCGGTCTGCCGCCAGTCACATCCCTCCATTCTCGAATGTCACAGAGCAAGAGGACGAATGTCACTGAAGAGTTCCGTCGGGCCCAAAGCGGTATCCTAGTGGCAACAGATGTCATCGCTCGAGGCATGGACTTTCCTTCGGTAACAAACGTCTTCCAAGCAGGCATCCCTTCCGATAAGGAATCCTATATTCATCGGCTGGGACGAACTGCCCGTGCGGGCGCGGAAGGAAAAGGCACCTTCATTATCACGTCTCACGAGACCTCATACTCAAAGCGAACACTAAATAACATTACGTTTGAGGATACACCCGCGGACTTAAGCGCCCGCGAGGATGTATCGGAAATTGCTGTGAGACTCGATCCGGAAACCCAAGCGAAAGCATACCAAGGCTGGCTTGGTTACTACAAGACCTTCATCAAATCATTAAACTGGGATTCCACCCGACTTGTCCGTGAAGCGAACGAGTTTGCGCTAAACGGTCTTGGAGCGGCTGAGATTCCAACGCTGCAGAAGAGCACAGTTGGGAAAATGGGATTGAAGGGCGTCAAAGGACTTGTGATTGGTCCGGTAATTCGAAATGAGAACGTTCAGCAGAAGCGCGAACGGAATGGCGGTAATGATAGCGATATTGGTAGCAGACAACCGTTCAAGCGGCCCCAAAGAGGATGAAGGATATCTCCCAGCAAGGCCATTCTTGCAATCAAGGTACCTAAGTACCAATGCGAGTAGGTATACCAAGGCGGATATCATGGATCTTCAGGATTCCGAATTCGATTAGCTATCATGTTTGCAGCCCTCAAGAGACTTGGTAAGTGCTACAGTCTGTTTCGAGCATTCACAACAACAGGTGCTTACCACCTAGCAGTGATAAAAGAGGAACCCTGTTCTTGGCTAGTCTATATAGCATTTACGGTCATCTCAGCCGTCTTCTATAACGCCTCTTTTGGCTTGTGGCAGCATAACAAAATTGTATAATTGTTGACATGATGCATCCCCTCATCAATAGCAAAAGGGGTTGATCATTGTATTTCTATAGCTATTAATATAAACTGCCAATAACAACGCCCAACTAGGACCTATAGGATATTTATGATGAGTATACGACAGGTGACTTTATTGGAAGCTGAAGGTAGGTATCTCGGGTCTTTATCTAATAAGGACACGCAACCAGAGTCTATGATATCCACCCCTCTTCCTCTAGTTGGCATCCTAACTTAAAATCGTATCGACTTGTCTCTCAGAGATGTCTTCATCTATCTAAGCCACCCACGCCTCTTATGCCATGCTCCCTCTAAACTCAACGTCTCATACATATCTGCTTCGCCCCCCCCCTTTCATCATCGGACTCGAAATCGTCTTCGTCGTAGTAGTAGTTCGACACTGGGAATTTACACGAGGAGCTAGTGTAGCCGTCGAGAAGACCCAGGTGGTCGCCGTGACAGTAGTCGTCTTCTACGACGACGGTCTTGTTGTATCGTTTAAGTAGGTGAGGGTGTGGAAGCTTGGACTTGAAGCGGAGTTTGAGGTGGATGAGCTTCGATTCTATGGCGCCCATTGTGGAGATGGGGGCGTGGTTTGGTGGGTATGGGGTAATAGTTATAATCTAAACTGCTGGGCCCTGAGTCGCGGTCTATGTAAACGTCGCCTGCATGGATGAAATTGTAGGCGGATTTGGTGACAATGAAAAAGGGGGGTATGGAATGTGTGCTTCGTTCTACATTTTCAGACTTATTTCTGTAGGCTGGGTTAGGGGACGCGTATAGGTGGTAGAGAGGAGTGTAGGGAAATTGGGTTGGTTGCTCACGTTGGTGCGCCGTCATTATCGCGACTGACTAACGCTGACGTATTTGACTGTTCTAGTTCCGGTGAGTTTACTTAGTAGGAAGACGCGTTGATATTATACTTTCTGGTCAAAGTGAGTAGTTAACCTACAGGATTGCTTCGGCTTAATTAGAGTTATATATGAATTGAATCAGGTGTGTTAAGATTATCTTCAGGTGTGTGGTGTTTTATAGGAGTCTTCATGCACGATACCATGTCGGCAGGAATCATGGCTGCTAGTTAATCAGCCAAGTCCAGGCCTGGCAGCTACTAACGCTCTCTCGCCGCGTCGACTGATTGATGAAGATATGGGGCGGCGTTAGGTTCTAATACAATACCAGCATAAGAGACGGAGGTATAATCTTCACGCAAGTACTGTTTTGCGCTGTAAGTATAGCCAATATTCAAATCCAGGGGTATCTCGTTTCATATCGTAATGTACATAGTTGCGTTCCTCCTACCTAACATCCCTTCATAGTCCGCGTGACTGATTCAACAGGCCTGTCTCCGACTAGTGATCCGTCTCTCTACTCTCTTTATGCGGGGGCAGAGTCGTGAAAAGTCTGATGTCCGACGACAGCTCTAGAGAATCCGTTCTTTCGATATGGGGTAGCTGAGGAGCTAGTACCTGTATCTCTTCATATACGTCCTTGGAATGTACCCGATCTATCGCAGAATCTACGGGCGACAGGCGGGAGTAGGTCGGGCTCGGCTGCTTTAGGTGGTCTTGGACCATGTCCATATCTATGAATGATATCTCTGAATATTGGTTGAACCTGGCAATGCCGTTTTTGTTGCCACTTCCGTGTCCGCTTCCACTCCTATCCCCATCCTCGCTTGGTGTTTTATCAAGATGAGAGCTGCCACTCCCGGACTTTCGTCGCCGAGTTAAGAGGCTGGTGATCTTGACAACGGGGTACGACTGCGCTATTCGGGCGGCAAGGGGTCTGAAGATGGGCAGGCTGGCGCACAATATGGCTATGCTGGTATGCAAGGCCGCCCATATTTCAGTATTGGCATAAGACAGCGCTCGCCTTCCCGGCTGGTAAGCAAGGACAGTTTTGGCGATACCGGAACCTATGGAGCTAGATGGTCGTTAGGAAGGTAAATAGAGAAAATTACCTAGATAAGGGGGACGTACAAAGCTCCTAATAAGAAGATTCCCGAGACGACGAATTTCTGTCTCGGCGAGTAGTGCATCCTCAACACCACGCTTAAGGGCAAGGTCAGGATCCAGGCGTCGAGAAGAATCTCGCATACCCCGGCCGCCATCCAGTAGACGTTGAAGTTGATACAGTACCTCGGATCGTTCAGTGTACTGTTCAGACCGATCTCGAGATCCTTGCACTTCCGCAACGCGGCAACGGTACACCCGAACCACCAGCCGATAACTAAGGCGCTCACGGCGAATAGCTGGTACCGAAAGACCTGGCTGATGGCGAAGATGCGGTGGTACATGACTAGGATTCCCAGCTTGGTGGCACTAGCAACAGTGAGGTAGAGGATGGTAGAGGCATATGATAGTCTAATGTATAGATGATCTCGGGACGAGTAGACATAATCCGGGTTCGTGTTGTCTGATGCACGGAGTCCGTTCGGGTCAACAGAGTTACCCCAGATAACTAGCACCACGGTGGTCAGAGAAGTGATAAGAGCGAATAGAATTAACCAGTCGTCGGCTTTCAATCCGGCGCGGGTGAAGATGCGAGTGTAAAAGCGGAGCACAACAGAGAGTATAGTTAGGACGATGACGAACCCATTGATACCCCATGTGGTGCTGTGCCGGCTGTCGTGGGTGGTCTGCGGAGCGGAAGCCATCGCCTTACTCTCTTTTCGTTCCCTGCGCTAGAAATATGGATATATCGATCAAGATGATGTCGCTATAGATGGGAATATAACAATTTCCTTGCGCCCTACATGGACGAACCGTCGAGCAGTCTATTACACTACTGTGCTACCAAGACATGTTGTGACAGAGGTTTAAGAAGCGTGAGATTACATAGCTCGCGCAATTGTAAACTACAGCTACAAGGCAGAATTGCCCAAGTATACTCGAGGCCTACAGAACTCGGGAGACAGGGGGCGTAATATTTAGCCGTTCATTGCTACTACAGCCAAAGCCGTGGCGGCCCCCAATGTTACGTTGTTGGTGGCGTAATGGCTTAGATGAAGAGCTGAATCTGTCGTCTTTTAGATCTCGTATCTGAAAGATGTAATGGAATATTACTATCAATATATGCCCATAAGGATGGACCAGTATAACAGGTAGTATGCCACTGTTCGTAGAAGAGTATAATAAACCGTTGACCGAAACGAACCACAAAGACTTCGAGATGAGAATAAATTGAAAGTCGAAGATATCTAGATCTTGTACCTAGTAGAGGATTACGTGTGGTGTGTATTGGGAGGGAAGGATCCAAATCCTTCCCTCATGTGCTGAGAAAATAGTATACCGTAACATAATTCAAGATTAGAATCCCACGGCCGTGTCTTTGCTTCCTTAGCCATTTTATATACAATGATATACTATCATCCAATAGTATGGCCATATGTAATTTGTAAAAACGACGTTGAAAGCAAAAGGAATACGCAGCAGTGTTTAATATATTTATATATGAGATTTGATTGGCTGGTTCCTTTTTTGGTGTGAACGGTGGGGTAGGGCTGAATCCCGGATGGTAGCTGGAGTTGGTCTAGCTCCAACGATCTGCTAGATCCGAACCTTACTCAGTTAGATACAGTATAACTATACTAAGCTTAATACATGAGGGCACCCCTGCGGTGCGCCACAATAGCCCGAGTTTACGAAGGTCGTAAGTCGATCACGTGCCGCTGCTGCCGGGGAAAGGCGCTCGGC